TTTCCATAGAACATTGTTTTACATCCCTTCACCTTGAGTCTGAAGGAGTCCTTGTGGGTTAGATGCGTTTCCTGAAGACAGCAGATACTTGGCTAATATTTTGTCATACATTCAGTCAGCCTATGTATCTTTAGTGTGGAGTCCAAGCCATTGACATTTATTGAGAGAATTGATAAGTGGGGTGGATTTCTGTTCATCCTGTTGCATAGAACTTTATTGCTTTGTTTTTCCTCTTGAGCCATTGTGGCATCTGGGCTCTGAACTTTAGCTTTCGGATGATTTCACACTGGTGGGTGTCTAGTGTGCTGATCAGTGTATAATGCAGAGCAGGGCAGGTCTGGTCTTGACAAATTCCCTCAACGTTTGCTTGACTGAGAAAGTCTTTATTTCTCCCTCATATAAGAAACTTAGTTTTGCAGGATACGAAATTCTAGGCTGGCCATTATTCTGTTTGAGAAGACTAAGACTGGGGACCCAGTCCCTTCTGGCTCGTAAGGTCTTAGTTGAGAAGTGTTCAGTTAGTCTGATGAGTTATCTTTTGTAAGTTACCTGATGCTTTCGCCTTACAGTTTGTAGGAGTTCCTCTTTCGTGTTGAGAACAACTCAACGAGTAGACACAACAATCCTAAATATCTATGTACTAAACACAGGGGCACCCAGATTCATAAAACAAATCCTACTTGATAAACAGCAGCATTGTAATAGCTAGGGACTCCAACATCATACTGACAAAACAGGACAGATCCTCCAAACAGAAAATAAACAAAGAAACAATAGACTTAAACAAGACTCAGAACAAATGGGCCTAACAGACATGTACAGATAATTGTACCCCAAAACTACTGAATTTACGTTCTTCTCATCAGCTCACAGAACATTCTCTAAGACTGATCACATCCTAGGCCACAAAACATGTCTCAACAAATTTAAAAAAATAGAAATTATACCATATATCTTCTCAGACCATAGTAGAATAAAATTAGAGATCAATTCAAACAGTAACACTCAACTCTATACCAAGTCATGGAAATTATACAACCTACTGCTGAACGATTATTGGATCAAGGAGGAAGTTAAGACGGAAATCAAAAGATTCTTCAAACTAAACAACAAAGGGGGCACAAGTTACCAAAATCTGTGGAATTCTTTAAAAGCAGTTCTAAGAGGAAAATTCATAGTTTTAAATGCCTATGTCCAAAAGAAAGAAAGATCACAAACCAATAATCTAATTAATTGTCTCAAGGAATTAGAAAAGGAAGAGCAAACCAACACCAAATCCAGCAGAAGAGAAGAAATAATTAAGGTCAGAGCAGAACTAAATGAAATCGATTCCAAAAGAATTACACAGAAGATTAATAAAACAAAAAGAAGGTTCCCTGAAAAGATAAACAAAATTGACAGGCCTCTTGCTAGATTAACCAGAAACAGAAAAGAACGGACACTAATAAACTCAAT